GCTGGACAATATTCTCTGTCACCATTTACTAATTTACCTGACCAAAATGATAGGTTACACATTGTCATGGTTCTACATCATGTTATTTTTGAAATTTTTTATTTGCCTTCTTTTTGAATGCTTACCAGGTTCACTCAGGGAGGGATACTACTGTCTCCCCTCAGAGAAGCCCAAACTGTATTATCATACTCTAGGGATAGTTTCTGAACTCAGTTGCTCCTTAGATATTCTAACATGTTGTATCTGACAAGCCATGCCTTTTAGCTTTCCCAAGCATTGGATGTTTATGCGGTGCTTTACATGCATATAATTACAATGACACAACTGAAATATGCTTTAAAAGGTTGTTTTATAATAAGCCTCTGGGTTGTTACTCCAGAGAAGTTACTTCAGTTTCTGGCTTGTCACAAGAACCAGCCACATAGGAAGTGTATGGGTCTTTTCATATGGGAGAAAAATTAATACCAGGAACTTTGTAACTAAGAAGATGTTGAGAGATGTGCAACCATTAAAGGCTCTGACCAACAAATCAGGGAAATTATAGCAGACCGCTTGTTACTGTGAGAAAGATGCTCTTACAGTTTCCCCACCCAGTAAAGGCTGGGTCCAAATGTTTGTTGTCAGTTGCTAGAGAGCCTGTTACTTGACATAACCAGGCGCTGATGTCAGGGCTTCGGGGCTAATACTGAGCTAAGATCTTGCCAGCATTTATAGTTAACCTGTTTGTACTACAGATTGATAGCACCAAGCAAACTTAAGTCAATGCTTACCTCTACAGTTAAAAGCAAGGAGAAGGAGAGAGGACAGTCGGTGGCTCCAAGAGGGCTTGATAGCCAAAGACTACTGTCCTTGTAAATCTGACAAATAACAGACAGTCCAAATTTTTGTAAGAGCTCCAAGGTTTCCTGTGGGATTCCTTTAGATAAGAATTTGAAGGGCGCTGGTCACTTCTGAAGGTACATTCCCCTTTCAAGGTCCAGCATATGAGGAGAAACAACGCTTAAAAAAAAAAAACACCAACAAAACTATTTTGTTCCTCCATTGCATAGAGATGGACCGTCTTACCCTGTCTTAGAAGACGCGTGCAGTCAGTGGATGTATAAAGCAAGAGGAACAATTAGACATGATAGTGGCGAGCAGAAACATAAAAAGCAATGGAACTGGAAAACAAACAAACCCTGCCATATGTGGCCTCCTGAGTCAGGGTCATGCCCTAAATACACAACACTGTCTGAAAATAGTGCATGTAGTATTTAAGTTTCTAAACATGCACATACTACATACTTGTAAAATATTTTCCAAATCCAGCATAATATAATATACGTGTACAATATGTTCCTTTAATAAGGAAGAGACACCAATCCTGAACCTGTAGTCAGAGACGCTTGTCTTAGAGAAGGTTCCTGGAACCATCTCGGCTCTGGTTCAAAGACTGCTCAAATGTTTAGGCTCAAACTAATCAGGCTAAGTATGTTCTTGACAGATTATTTTCTCCCTTTCATAGCTCTCCCCTGAGGGATGTTAGTCATAAACTCAGCAGAACGCCTACACTGCATCCACACAGTTTGAGGTAGATGTTAAAATAATCCCCCACCTAAGCACACAAGTCTGGTAACTGTTCAATCAGTTATGCAATTTGCATGGGTAAATGAATTTTGCATTCACAGATGGATTCATATGTGTATTACAGATAGTTAAGAGGGGAATCTGAAAACTGTTCTATAGCATTCATTGCCCACAATGGGATTTTATCACATCAAATTATAACCCTATATGGTTTTAGATAGATAGATAGATAGATAGATAAGGATGCACAGAACATATCTGTCTGTGATCACTTTACTTCTGGAGCTGTAACAGTGCGTAGCCAATTGAGAATGGATCTGTGGAGCTCTGCCCAAGATAGTTTTCACTTGTCACGTTTTGGGAATGTGAGTGGGACAGCAAGACTGGCAATTTTTTCAAACTGTAGCGGCCTATGAGAACAGCTAATTTCATACTCTGGGTCTTTGGATTTCAGCTTGCTCATCATTGCAACCCTTACTCTATTTTTTGGAACGCAAATCTTCAGGTTATGCAATGTACTATTCAAATTCTGTATTGTCAGTGCTCAGAAAGGAAGTGTGTCACCAGTCCCACTGGCCACCCATTGGCACCAAGTTGGTAGCAAAGGGTTGCATGAGTGCTGGGTTTCTGGCACCGATCTTTTAAAATATTTTTTTGCTTAGAGGACAGACAAACACATAGTTCTGAGCTTCACAGATGAATGTAGGAAAATAAGGTGGCTTAAGGTTTGAGTCTGCCAACTCTCTCTCAGTATTAGCAGTTTCTGTAGTATAATAAAAAATGAAAGTATTTTTGCACAACCAGTCCAGGATAAAATTGGGTGGTTGGACTGATACTTCACCTAACCTTGGAGAATTCAACTCTTGTCATGGAAACAAAAATATCTTCCAGATATTCGTATTTTAAAAATGTAACACCTCTCACTCACATGTTTATAAATCAGTTTCCGAATATGATTTTCAGTTTCTATATGGCTGAGAATTCCAATAAAGGTCTTATTAGACATCATCCTACATTTCATGTTTAGTGATCATATTATAGTTTGTGTAGCTGTAATGGCACATCTAGGCTTTTCAAATTCCTCTTAGGAACCACAGAGCTACTACTAGGAGCCATGAATGTGGCTTTGCCTATATGCCTATAGGCCTAGGTTTATAGTGTAGGTTTATATAGATGAATATTCCCTGTCAGATAAAAGAACATTAATCAATGTAAGATGTTAGGAACTGATTAAACCACTTGACGAATTCTCCAGGGGCATCTCCCTCATACTGTTCTGGTTTTGGATTAAATGAAATGTATTTACCTCAAATTCTATTACCACATGGCCTTTAAAATCTTAATCTCAAAGATTCCCAACAAATTTTGGGAAATGAAAAGAATACCTGCAAGACTCTTCTTCAATCATAACACAAAAAACATTTCAGTACTTTCTCCTTTTAAAATAAAGAGCAAAAGGATACCTCTGACTTGATGGATTCTCTACCTTGTTGGTTTATTTTTTAGGAAAAAAATATAAATAGAAATTTAAGAATGATAAAATTTTAGAAGAAGTATTATACCAGGGAGCAGAAACTGGTATAGGACATTAGCCAACTAAAAAATGAACGCTGATTAACTGAGGTGATGGGGACTTTTCTGCCTACTTAAAATTCAGTGTCCGGAACCAGGACACTAGCTTGAAAAATGCCAATTCCAATGCCCTTTAAAGAATTAGGAGACAAAAAAGTATTTGCTAAAGACTTTACTTTTCCTTCCTTCTTATTCTCTCACATTATTTAATCAGAGGCTGATGCCAATAATTCAAATAAACAAAAATAAAAAGCTCACTATAAAGCCTCCAAGATCCTTAGAGAATCCTGTAGGTAAACCAGTCTTAAAAAAATAGCATTGACAATTCCTTTCAGTTCCGGAACCTCACGAGAACTAGAAAAACTATTATTTTCCCTTTGTAATTCACTTTAAGGTCAGGGTATGCTACTTTATTTGAAAATTTCAACCCTAAAAAAAGAAAGTGTCAAAAAGAATATTAATCCTGTCCACTGATTATTGCAGAAGATGTGCTGTTATGGGTACTCTCTGTCCTTAGCTGGTTTTTGGCTGTTGCTAGCTGCCCTTGTTTTTACCTCCTACTGCAGTACAGCTTTATCATATGAGGTTGCTCTGTTACAGCGCTGCTTCCTGCGGGTGCGCTCCTGTTTCATTTCTTCAGTTACTGTCTAATGTTTATGCCATTCGCAATATGTGAATGGAAACAGAAACCAGGGCATGAAAGACGTTGACAATATAAATAAAGCTATAAACCCGTATCTTCTTTTAGTCTCCTACTTCAGTCTTTACTATCGCCATTATTTATTTTATTTTCTTAGAGCAATATACTGCATTTGCGTTTACCCCCAAAAAGCCTAATCATTTGGGAACCCTTTGGTTAACTAAGAAGTAGGAACATTTTTCAGGCACAGCAAGTATTTTTCCATCCAGATCTATCTTCACAACCTCATGATGTCTTTGACAGATGAGTTTATTCATTTCTCTGTCATTTCCAGTGTGGGCTATTGGTATTAGCATAATATTTTGGTTTGAGGCATGACTTTTACCAGCACAACTACATAGCTGAAACCTATAGGAAAAATGCAACTGAAAAAAGCAGATATAACGTACTGCTTTTCATGTGGTAGTGAACTACTCTGATATAAACACTTCACTGCCAATATATCTTCATCTGTGCTTTAGAAGATAGTTGGAACAGTACAATTTCTGGGTGGAAACATGGCCCAAATGACTTTTTCATGATTCCTTTTAAACCCAGTTGGCTATACTGGTTAATGTGGAATTTTAATTCAATTTGATTATGGATATATTTAGTTTAAGTGTTTTCTTGAAAAGAAATGTATTTAAAACCTTGAGTTAATCCAAGATAAAGTGCTTTGGTTCACAGCAATTTAGGTAAGTACTTAAAGAGTTCTGCTGAATCAGAACCCAGTGAATAAATGAATACCTACATGCTTTAATAAGTTCTCCTTTTAGATCACACATTCTCAAGCTCAAGACTACTGATGAGTCAGCACAATGATTATTATACTTATTTTTTACCAGGAAATACATTAAATCTTACCATACATATAAAATAGTAACTGTTTTAAAACATTTATTATATTAATGGTATATTATGTTATTATAGTATCCCCCATTATATGCTAGATGGACAGAATTCAAAAAAGGAGCATGCTTGTTTGGGGAAGGCAATGGTCTAAAGACAGATAGAAAAATTAACAAGAATTATCGGGAGGGAAATAGTATATATGGATTAGCTATAAAATCTCTGGGAGGTGACGTGATGCTGAAGCAGAGTGTCATTAACATATATAAGGTAACCTTATCTACTCAGACCTCAAAGGCAGAGAAAGATGAGAATCTTTGTGAAGGTTACCTTTAATTTTTTATTGTCCTTCTTCCTTGCAAATGAATTTTTTGGTGATCTCCAAGCACTCTCCAAGGAGAGTCAAATGAATCGAGTATGTTGGGACAGACTGTGTGAATATAACAAAAGGGAATTGTGAAAATTTAACTGTTGAGAGTAGGGAGAAATTTGCAGTGTAAAAGGGTTTTACTAGAAAATATATACTCATAAATCCCAAAATGTTTCACCAAAATGGATAAGAAATTGGCTGGATGGCCACACTCAAAATGTCACAGTCAATGGCTCAATGTCCAAGTGGAAACCAGTGATGAGTGGCATTCCCCAGGGGTCAATATTGGGACCAGTGCTGTTTAACATCTCTGTTGGTGACACGGACATTGGGACTGAGTGCACCCTCAACAAGTTTGCCAACGACACCAAGCTGTGCAGTGCGGTCAACATGCTGGAGGGAAGGGATGTCATCTAGAGGGACCTGGACAGGCTTGAGAGTTGGGCATGTGCAAACCTCATGCAGTTCAACAAGGCCAAGTGCAAGGTCCTGCATGTAGGCTGGGGCAATCCCAAGCACAAATACGGACTGGGCAGAGAATAGATTGAGAGCAGCCCTGAGGAGAAGGACTTGGGGGTGCTGGTTGATGAGAAGCTCAACATGAGCTGGCAATGTGCACTTGCAGCCCAGAAAGCCAACCACATTCTGGGCCGCATAAAAAGAAGCATGGCCAGCAGGTCGAGGGAGGTGATTCTGCCCCTCTATTCTGCGCTGGTGAGACCCCACTTGGAGTACTGCATCCAGCTCTGGGGCCCCCAACATAAGAAGGACATGGACCTGTTGCAGCAACTCCAGAGGAGGGCCACAAAGATGATCAGCTGGAGCATCTCTCCTACGAAGACAGGCCGAGTGAGTTGGTATTGTTCAGACTGGACAAGAGAAGACTCCGGGGAGACCTTATAGCAGCCTTCCAGTACCTAAAGGGGGCCTACAGGAAAGATGGTGAGGGACTCTTTATCAGGGAGTGTATCAATAGCACTAAGGGTAACAGTTTTAAACTGAAAGAGGGTAGATTAGATATTAGGAAGAAATTCTTTACTGTGAGGGTGGTGAAGCACTGGAATGCATTGCTCAGAGAAGTTGTGGATGCCCCATCCCTGGAGGTGTTCAAGGTCAGGTTGGATGGGGCTTTGAGCAATCTGGTCTCGTGGCAGGTGTCCCGGCCCATGGCAGGGGGGTTGGAACTAGATGATCTTTAAAGTCCCTTCCAACTCTAACCATTCTATGGTTCTATGAAAATATTTTCAGTGCGCTTCTGATGAAATGCAGGATGGATCCAATGGCAACATGCAGCTTCCTCAGAGTCCAGCCAATAGGTCTGGAAATAACCAGGAACTTGAGCTTCCAGGTCCATAGCTCTGTGTCAGTGCCCCAGTG